CAAACAATCTCCTGCCAGTAAGGACGTGGTACCTGTCCTCTAGCCGGCGGTTTTGCCGCCAAATGGCACCGCAGGATAAACAGTTATGACCCGAGACCCTCCGAACTGAGTGGTTTTGCCACCAAATGGCACCACGAAATACCGGTTATGCCCAGAGCCAATACGCTCCTTAGTGGCATCAAATCCTTGAGATATGAATAAATAGGATATGATCGATAGGGCACAAAACCGTCTGTTAGCTAAGGTGGATTCAAATTTGTCCCCTTAGACAAACATTCACCCCAGGTTTACAAGGTCCCCTTGGACGAAGCAACCCATGGCTGCCGACAAGGATCCTTCTGTTAGGTTGGGTCGACTACCTCCTCTGACTAAGTAGACCAGGGACCACGATGGCCCGGGATGACGGAACCATGGGATCTTGATCGAGTCCATCATCCATTCCCCCACCATCCGCTTTAAGTGAATGATGGTGAAATTTTTGTTTTAAATATCAAATTTTCAAATGTCCAAACCTTTTAAATCCCTACGCCTATTACTGCTACTATATGCCTGATACTATGTATCTATGAATACAATGAATCTGATCGACGACTAGCCTTAATCAAAAGTTCTCTCTCCTTATCGGTAGGGGTAATTAACTATAGGGGCTTGCGCCTATAGGAAACCAGAACTCAGATCACAAAGTCCTCGCAAAATGAGGGCGAAATCTCTGGGTAATGTCTTATTTACAAACTCTTCTGCCTTCCAAAATTTACCTCGGAACTTGTTCCGTTAAAACTCCCTCACCGAAGAAAAAAGCACAATCAGTGCGGGCGGAGGCCGGGGCCGAATTTTCGGAGCCCACATTAGATGATTTTTACTCCCTTCTTTGTAGTGAGAAAATTAACCTCATTGCTGAAAATCTCAAGATCTCCCAACCAGGCTCATCCAATACTATATTAGCAGCAGCCAGAGGTCGTCCATCGTGGTATTATGGTGGCCATAATAATTCCTAGCAGCATCAAAATGAAACCCGCAACCCAGCTTCTAATCCCAAACCCATTGCTAGAGTTATTTGCCAAATATGCAATAAATCGGGCCACTCGGCCACAACCTGCTGGCACAGAAACAACCTTGACTGCAAGCTGAATCCATCTACTACATTCACCAGTCTCTCCTTGATTCTAGTGCCTCAACTCATCTCATCGCAGAACTCTCCAACATACAGAATCCAACTCCTTACACAGGCGCAAACACCATCATAGCAGGCAACGGAACAAATCTCCCTATTAACAACAGTGGCAAAGGACTCTTACCTACAACCAACCCTCTCCGTAAGCTTCACCTTAACCAGCTTCTTCATGTTCCTTCTCTTTTGTATAATCTTCTTTCACTTCACAAAATCACCTTAGACAGCCATTGTTCAACTCATTTCACTGCTAATGATTTTTTTTTCTTTAGGATCTATTGACTGGACAAACAATTCTTCAAGGTCGTAGCACTAATGGACTCTATCCCATCACCACCTCCACCGTCGACTCACATCATTTGTCTCTCACCATGGAACTCAACTTAATTGCTCTCTGGCATGCCTGTTTAGGTCACCCGCAACATTCTACACTATACAAGCTATCCAAACTCCTCAAGTTCAACTGTCCGTCGTCTCTTACTAATAGTTGTACTGCTTGTAATGTAGCCAAAAATCATAGGCTACCATTTTCTTCAAAACTATCGTGTAATTTCACTTTACTATCTTTAATACATACAGATATTTGGGGACCTTCACCTGTTCCTTAAATGCTTATATTTACTATATCGTTCGTATTGATTATTGCTCCAAATTCTCTTGGATATATCCAATGCATCACAAATCGGAAACTGCAAGTCATCTCATTAACTTTATTTCTACGGCAGAGATGATTCCGTTGGTGATCAATGGTTGGATGGATGAGTGCGAAAGACTCGCAGCTGTCGTACAGTAGTGGTAGTTGTGTTGTGCTGGTGGAAATGGCTGATCAGTGCAGTGTGATACGGCTTGCGTATCAGTCTTCTACTTATCATATTGAAGTACCTATCATCAAGTTCATGTGGCACATGTTGCATATGTAACACATACCTTGCTTTACTGTAATATCTGAGGAAGAGATGCATGAGATTTTTCGATGTAGTAGGCCAGCATTTTGGTAAAAAGAACTTCAAAGTTCACCATCGCAGATGCAACTCTAAAACCCTGGTTTGTTAACTTTGAAAAAACCTAATCAGGAACTAGACATTGTTGTGTGACATATCCCGTTATCTGATTGAACAATGGCCTACAGTTTGAATCTCTCAAAATTCGGTTCTTTGATGTGATCTTTATTATTGATCCAAATATATTATTGATCTTCATATATTCCATATTAATGTTTCATACATTTAGCAAAGATCCATTATTTAAAATTGCACAATATGAGGCTCGCCTCTGTGCAAACTCAGTAAAAAATACTCAAGGATTACAACTCGAGCTTTTTTTATGAGGCTTACACGTCATCTTGAATGAGGCCCGCCTCGCCTCGTTGGCATGAGGCATACGCCTCACTATTTATATATATATTATTATTATTTTAAAACTTACCTAACTCCTATACAAAAGCCCCAAAAACAATCATGCTTTCTTGCAGCCCAAAGCCACAGCAACTTCCTCTCAACCACCTCTCAACAATTATGTCATCTGTGTTAGGCGCCTTATAATCAAAAATGATTTTGAGACAATTATGTTCTAACATAAACTTCATAACCTACTAAATTACGCATTTGACATATATCATGGACAGTAGTAAAAGCACTACCAGAAGAAACAAAAAAAAAAAGAAGCACTAACTCTGTTTTTTTTCAAACTTTGGCATAAGTTATGCAAATGGAGATTTTCCATGTTTTACGATATGTTTTTGTATGCTGATAAATGCAAAAGGACTCGGTAGAGTCGTGGAGATCAAATTATGCTAGAATATTTATTTTTATGGTACTGATCCAACCAACAATGGCTACAACAAATGTTTTAACTCCAATCAGCTTAGCTTGTTCACTCCGTTGTCTACATACAAGTAGGAGAAGATATAAAGGTGAACAAAATGATCACCATTTCAATCACATACCATCCATGACTGAATGCTATGAGATGACCTCCACCTTGACTACAGATAGAAATGAAAGCCAACCTAATTATTACTTTGTTGGATTCTAGAACTTACCTAGACCAATGACCTGGTGAAATATAAGATCATATTTCCTTTCAGGGAAACACAAATTTCTGTAAAGATGCTTTCTTTTTCAGAACTAATTGGTCCTAAAGTTCGTGATAAATTAGTAATTTGTATGCATTCAATTATTATAATTTTGTTGGGTTGAAAGTTTCACACAGTTTACCTTTTCCTCCTTTTGAGGGCAAGGGGTGACATTTGTTGCAAAAGGTTGAAATAAAGAGTAAAAGCTTGTTTGAATCAGCATAATTTTTATTAGAAATTACTTGAGTGTACGCATTACTCTTTTTATCAGTATTTGTTGTACTATCAACTATTGGGTGTTTTGTACTTTATATGTTCCTATTTTCATGCCAAATATTGAACTTATTTGTATATAGTGCTTCCTAGTTGGCTAAAGTTAGCCTGGATGATCAAGATTGCATGATGAACATGTTCCACCAGGAATTAATTAATTTGCTCAGAAAAAGTCTTGATTTTTCATATCAACATGTTTGAATGGACTCAGTTGGATTCTGCATCCACATATAATGTTGCTAATAATCAAAGATAAGACAGAAGAACGTGTCAAGGTTATTACATTTATTGGTGATATCTGTGGCGGTGTTGGCAAGAAAGAATAAGAAGCATATTTCTGTTATATGAATCAGCAATGGCCATGTATTTCCTGTAGTCATTTTAATATCGTATGGCTTAATTTGATCAATCCTTCTTAATGGAGAAGCTAGCCTTAGAGTTGACTATGGCTATTTTTTTTGTATTGCGGCTTTGATATTGGGAAACTACATGATGGAAACAAATTGCAACAACAATGTTATTTGTAAAAGATATGCTGCCATATGCTTCAATAACTTGTTTTTTTATTTATTTATCACCCTGATTAATTACGATGTAAATTGGGTTGTGACGTTGTGTTATCTATCAACCCCGCAGGCTAGTCCATTGCGGGCTTTAGAAAGTCTCTTTAAATGAGTTTAAGGTCCTTCAATGGCTACATCTGAAAAGTCAAGTGTCGTGTTTAAAAAGAATGTCCTATTAGGTATGCCATTTACACCAAGTGAGGTTCTCATTTAATTGCTCCAATTGCTCCTTAGGGTGTGAACTGTGAAGTTTCTCTGTGAGATTTTTCCATTGTCATGGGCATGATGATTCTATCTTTCCATTGCCACCATGATATCTGGATCCATTTGATATGGTAACCATTATGGTTTGAGTTTCTCTTTCGTTCCTTTGCATCTCACCAGAATACTCTATTATTGAGGTGCTGATGCTTCGTCTCCCTATGGCTTTTTCATTTTTCTTCATTTGTAGCTCTAATGACCATCTTCCTCGAAGATCTACTGTTATTTACTGGTACCTCACCAAAATTATCCATTATCAAGGTACTTACATGCTTCATAATCGGTGATTGATCATTTCTTTGTTGTCCTTGGCCCTATCTGAACTGCATTAATCAATGTCTTTTTATGGTCCTTCATTGCCATGAGATATCAGAACCTTTGATATAGTGACCTTTGTAATTCTTTGTATCAGATATCAAATCTTTTTTTTTTTTTTTTTTTTGGTATGAAATTTTTAAAAGGGGTTGCAATTTTTAAAGGGCTTGCCTTCCTATTTTGATTTGTTTTTTAAAGGTAATTTCAATTTTCATTTGTAATTATGAATCTTTTATGGTTAATGATTTATAGATTTTCTTTATGGTTTAATGATGTTGCCTTATGAAACCTCCATGGTTCTTGACTCACGGATTATATTTATGGTGTCATGGTGTCAGTTTCTTATATATATTGATTGGTGTTTTCTAATTTGAACATCACAAAAAATATGTTGAAGAATTGTGTTGCATCTCAATTATAACTACTAATATTTTGCGGAAAATTACTGTATCTCAGCTTAGAGTTTTTTATGTACTTAGTTAAGGTTAATTGTTCGATCTAATGCTATCTGTTGAATTACGTAGGACTTGATTTTCCCTATAGTGAGAGAAATTAGGTGTCAAATCAAGATTACAAGGATTATTGAGAGAGAAGCTTTGAGAAAATTTTGATGATATATTTGGCCAGAGAAGTATATAGAATTATGACATGTTCCATTAGTGACCCTTTATTTATAAGAGTCTACAGTTAGTGTCATAGGATGAGCTATACAAAATTAAAATGAGAAGTATATATTTCCTAGGTGTAATCAATTTTTATCGCGAGAAATCGGTTTACAAGTTGTTCACTGCATGAGGAATATTAAAGGGTTCTAAGAAGGAGAGAATATTACGTGCGATGTCTGGACTGTTCGGAGAATTCCACCGGCCCCAAGTGATGTGGCGTGTCCGGATTCGCCTCCGAACGAATCCAGACGCCGCACGTAATAATTTTCCTCTAAGAAGAGGGTGAATACCACTTACAAAAATCTTTGGTCGGTGAATACTCTAGACTAGTTGAGATATTTCAGAAGAATGGCTTTATGAAATGGACGACATATGGAGTCTATTAGGCTAATTCAGTGTTTGCGTACTGAGGTTAAACTAGGACTTTTTGATCTTGGTGGCTTGATGAGTTTCCACTATGGCTACTAAGGGTAATAGCAGACTAAAGGCCTTGAGTTACTTCTAAATTTGGTGAGTTATGATTGAGTTAAGGTGGTTTTATAGTCAGTGAGTTTTAGAATCCAATTTAAGTTTATCCATTTGATTTGATCAATCACACCCATGCCAATATGGGTGTTCATTAGTACTTCTGATTTATTATCACATTTTCCAAGTTCAATTCCATGTCAGCATCAGAGCTCTGTAGATCTTCCCTGGCAACAACTTTATCTCATACATTGCGTCAGTATATTTGTTCTTTAGCAACTTAATGCATGCGCATAGTCGCTATTATACATAGCAATTTATATCTTTTTTATGCTCGTCTCTTGGTGAAGTGGCTTGCGAGGGAACCTTGGTCACAAACCTTAAAGATGCACACCGGTTTTGCTGTTAATGGTTAGAGTTATACTAGGAAGTCACAACAACATATCTTTATCCCACTACGTGGGGTCAGTTTCATGAATTATTTTTTTTCATTGTGACTTGTTAAGAGTCAATGTCTCATTTAAATCTAATAAATAAATGTCATTTTTAATATTTTATAACTAAATCTTTTTAGTTCTTTTTCTGCCTTTCTTAACATAAGCTAAATTTAATACATCTACTCTTTTAACCGGATTATCAGAATGCTGCCATTTTATGTGACTAAGGTTTCGTTTGGGACAGCTTTCTTTCTGCTTCCTAAAACAACTTTTTAGTACAAAAAATAAAATTTTTATACTAGGAAGCTGCTTTAAGAAGCAATAAGAAAGCTGTCCCAAACAATGCCTAAATCATCTAAGGCAACTCTCTCTAATCTTATATTACATTGGAGCAACTCCAACTATTTCACGTATATGCTCGTTTTGTATCCTATCTCTAAGGGTAAAGCCATTCATCGACGTAAACATTTTCATCTCCGCAACACCTAATATTATGTTTCTCTTTTAATGATCAATATTCTGCGCCATAAAGCATTGCAAGTCTCATCACCATCTTATATAATTTTCTCTGAAGTTTGAAGGAAACTTTTCTATTACATAACAAGCCTGATGCATTCCTCTAATTTAACCATCCAACTTGAATTCTACTAATGAT